CCGAGGTAGAATAGGTTCCCAAAACCCCATGCTTGTTTCCCAGGGTAGAATAGTTTCCAAACACCCCATGCTTGTTTCCCGGGGTAGAATAGGTCCCCGAAACCCCATGCTTGTTTCCCGGGGTAGAATAGGTCCCCGGCACCCCATTCTTGTTTCCCGGGGTAGAATAGGTTCCCAAAAACCCCATGCTTGTTTCCTGGGGTAGAATAGATCCCCGGCACCCCATTCTTGTTTCCCAGGGTAGAATAGGTCCTCGAAACCCCATGCTTGTTTCCCGGGGTAGAATAGGTTCCCCAAACCCCATGCTTGTTTCCCAGGGTAGAATAGGTTCCCAAAACCCCATGCTTGTTTACCTGGGTAGAATAGGTCCCCGGCACCCCATGCTTGTTTCCTGGGGTAGAATAGGTCCCCGGCACCCCATGCTTGTTTCCCAGGGTAGACTAGGTCCCCGGCACCCCATTCTTGTTTCCCGAGGTAGAATAGGTTCCCAAAACCCCATGCTTGTTTCCCAGGGTAGAATAGTTTCCAAACACCCCATGCTTGTTTCCCGGGGTAGAATAGGTCCCCGAAACCCCATGCTTGTTTCCCGGGGTAGAATAGGTCCCCGGCACCCCATTCTTGTTTCCCGGGGTAGAATAGGTTCCCAAAAACCCCATGCTTGTTTCCTGGGGTAGAATAGATCCCCGGCACCCCATTCTTGTTTCCCAGGGTAGAATAGGTCCTCGAAACCCCATGCTTGTTTCCCGGGGTAGAATAGGTTCCCCAAACCCCATGCTTGTTTCCCAGGGTAGAATAGGTTCCCAAAACCCCATGCTTGTTTACCTGGGTAGAATAGGTCCCCGGCACCCCATGCTTGTTTCCCAGGGTAGAATAGGTCCTTGGCACCCCATGCTTGTTTCCCAGGGTAGAATAGGTTCCCCAAACCCCATGCTTGTTTACTGGGTTAGAATAGGTTCCCCAAACCCCATTCTTGTTTCCCTGGGTAGAATAGGTTCCCAAAACCCCATTCTTGTTTCCCAGGGTAGAATAGGTTCCCAAAACCCCATGCTTGTTTCCCGGGGTAGAATAGGATCCCCAAACCCCATGCTTGTTTCCCGGGGTAGAATAGGTCCCCGGCACCCCATGCTTGTTTCCTGGGGTAGAATAGGTCCCTGGCACCCCATGCTTGTTTCCCAGGGTAGACTAGGTCCCCGGCACCCCATTCTTGTTTCCCGGGGTAGAATAGGTTCCCAAAACCCCATTCTTGTTTCCCGGGGTAGAATAGGTCCCCGGCACCCCATGCTTGTTTCCTGGGGTAGAATAGGTCCCCGGCACCCCATGCTTGTTTCCTGGGGTAGAATAGGTCCCCGGCACCCCATGCTTGTATCTGCATGGGGATTGCCATGATGGAAGTCAACACTGAGAATCCCCTAGAGGGGGCCATGCAAATATTGAAAAGCTATTAACTCAATCTTTCTATCCTTGTGGTTATTGTTCACCTTTGACTTCTGTCTCTGGTCAGTTATGTGGTAGCTATGATGATGATGATGATGATAATGATGATGATGATGATGATGATGATGTTGCTGATGCTGATGCTGATGATGGACGATGATGATGATGATGATGATGATGATGATGACTTCTGCCTTGTAGTGGCAGTGGGGTAGCCTTGTAGTTATGCAAACATTGAAAAGCTACTAACTCAATCTTTCTATCCTTGTGGTTATTGTTCACCTTTGACTTCTGTCTCTGGTCAGTTATGTGGTAGCTATGATGATGATGATGATGATGGACGATGATGATGATGGACGATGATGATGATGATGATGATGATGATGATGATGATGATGATGATGATGGATGATGATAATGACGATGATGATGACGATGATGACAATGATGATGATGATAATGGACGATGATGATGATGATGATGATGACAATGATGATGATGATGGATGATGAAAATGACGATGATGATGATGATGATGATGATGATGATAACTGCTGTTCTGTAAATGTAGGTCACTTCTGCCTTGTAGTGGCAGTGGGGTAGCCTTGTAGTTATGCAAACATAGAAAAGCTACTAACTCAATCTTTCTATCCTTGTGGTTATTGCTCATCCTCCACGTCTGTCTTTGGTCAGCTTTGTGGTGGCGATGATATTGCTGATGCAAGACTTGGTCATGTTGTCATTACACAAAAATATGACAATATTTAAATTACATCACATGTCAACTGTTTACACTAGCTTTTATTGCTTGTCCATGAGTGAATGTCATCTGACAGATTGAGCTGTCCTCCGACCTGGTGGCGTGATAACCCACATCCTGAGTGGCTTTGTTTATCAGTTTTTGTTCCCAAACAGGTTGCATCATCCCATGTCTTGCTCACAAGTCTGGACAGAGCGGAGGGAGAGTATTGTCCGTCAACGATAAGTTTCATTGACATGATATGGCTGTCTTGTATCTGTACTGATGTGTAGATTGACAAGATATGCTGACACGAGCCTGTGTGATAGTCAGCCAGCCTGCAGAGATAGTCATCATGACAGGCTGTTTCTGGGGATGCTTCATAATGATGATGCAAACTGTCTGACAGTTGATGATGCTTAATGAAGATTGACCCTTAGGGCAGAATATGTTCCAAGCCACCCCACCCCTGTGCTTGTCAGAAGAGACAATTTAATGGGATTCAATTATTTATAATCCTTTTCCATAAATAAAGATTCTTCATTTTTGAATATTGATGACCAAAGATTAGTACATCAAGAACACAGGTTATTTCTGTTGTTTTGTTAAGAATGCTACTGTTTCTCTTTGTATGTTTTTGGTTACAAAATATGAATTAAATGAATGAATGGTTCAGCAGGATAAGGGGCCGAAGACAAGAACCTGCGTGAGATAGTCAGCAAGCCTGGGTGGACAGTCACCATGACACACTGTTTCTGAACATGCTTTGTAATGATGATGTGAAAGATCTGACAGTTGTTGATGCTCAGTGAGGACTGACCAATTCCAGGACTTAAAACATTCCCTCTCTATGAAGTACACATACCATTATCATGCCATTAGTGTGCCTCACAGTCCCTCAACCATATTACTTCCCTTCCGTCCAACCCATCCTGAAATACTGTAGCTCCAAATGAAGAAAGTCTAGATTTTCCACAGGCTACTTCTGAAACTCCCATTTCACTGTTCTCCTTTTCAATTTAAATGTCGTTCCTTGTTTCTATCAAAATTATTTATTTTCAGAGACTAAGCGTGAGTTTAACATACCATATAAGCTCAGACACCTCAGGAAAATAGGAGACAAATTCGGAATTAAACCATATCTAAAAGTAACCACTGAATTAGAACACTGCAAAGCAGTTACAAGGCTAAGACTCAGTGCTCATGACCTTCAAATTGAGAGAGGAAGATACTTTAACACTCCAACAGAAGAAAGATTATGTGCCTTCTGTGATTTTGATGAAACAGAAGATGAGGAACACTTCCTGTTGCGATGCCCTCTGTAAAAAGATCTGAGAGGGGAACTAAATTCATCACCCGGCTTTGCTATGCAACCACTATCGCTAAAAATACTATTAAATCCACCAGAGCCCTTTGCAAAAATTACCTTTAATTTCATCCACAAAATGTTTAGGCAAAGAAAATCTGCATCTCCTCCCTAACAATATAATCATAGCAATATTTGTATTCTGTTTTGTATGTCAATGTTTTAATAAGTCATCTTCATGTTTTGTATCCTGCCCCTGTGGGGGTTTATGTACAATAAATATTCTTCTTCTTCTTCTACCATGTAAGCCATGTGAATATGCCAATGGATTTTAAAAAAATTAAACACAAGAATATATAAACTGTGATGCAGTAGCTAGAATGCCAGCTTACATTAATGGCAGTTGTGACCCTGATAGCAAGAATCAAGAATTTTATTGTACAAAACACCCTCGTAGGGTAGGGTACAAACTATCTAGATATGAAAACATGATAGGTAGATATACATAATGTACATTATATATAGAGGTATTAAATGTTATTTTCAATTTTAGTAAATAAACATTTATGTATATCATGAGGTGGCCGGCAGCGTACACTTAGTGTTGAAACTGTAGTGAATAGAATTTCTCATGGTCTCAGCTTAATCATGCGGAATACAGTTCTGGCAACAAGACTTGCCAATTCTTTTGGAGGGTTCATAAATTGTCTGGTTCATCTGCATGCAGTTTAAAGGCCTTTAAAGTTGCGTTCCTAAATGAAGTGTCCTAAATGGGAAGTGGCGAAGTCCTGCGTGAATCTGGCTGGAATATTGCTGAGTGCGGCGTTAAACAACAAACCAACCAAATCTCTTTATGCTTTGCATGTGTCAAAAGCTCAGTGGAGACCCAGAATATGTCTCCGGCACCCCATTGCTAGTCATAAGATTTGTCCCATAGATTCATCAAACCACTATGTTTGTTTGTAGTTTAACGCCACACTCAGCAGTATTCCAGCTATATGACGGCTGTCTGTAAATACTCGAGTCTGGACCAGACAATCCAGTGACTGACATCATGAGCATCGATCCACGCAAATGGGATACGATGACATGCATCAACCAAGTCAGCGATCCTGACCACCCAATCCTGTTAGTCACCTCTTACGACAAGCATGGGTTGCTGAAGCTGTATTCTACCCCGGACCTTCAGGGGTTCAGACCAAGATGTATGATACTGGACAAGAATTATTGCATGAAACCGTACATCGACATTCTGAGGCAGAAACTGTTGAGTTGACCAGCCCAAACCTGTCATTTGACAACATTTTCAGTAGTTTTAATGTGTGGACATATACATGTATTAGCAAACTTTACTAGACCGAAAGACGTTTTATAGGGCTCGGGCTTCAAACTAGTGGCCAAAGTCAAAGACAGCATTGATTTAGTGATACATGTCTGATGAAGAACATTGTTATGTTTTGTGTTTTTTTTAAAGATGTTTTCTTGCATTCTGATCGTTCAGGCTTGTTTTTCTGTTCCAGACACAGCATGGGGCTCATTCCGACTAAAGGCAGTTTGCAGCTTGTGTCGAGGGTGACTGCATCATCATTTTGTAGGTGAGGAAACAATGTGTGAGTGAGTGAGTGAGTGAGTGAGTGAGTGAGTGAGTGAGTAAGTAAGTACGGTTTGACGCTGCTTTTTGCAATATTCCCTCAATAATGCAGCGGGGGACACCAGAAATATGCTTCACACGTTGTACCCATGTAGGAAATCAAACCTAGGCCTTTTTACAGTCTGCTGTGATATAGTTAGAAAATTGTCAACAATCGATATATCTTATAATAGTTGTTTCTAGGTTTGTCAGCACCATACCCGTGCTCGTGGGTTTCACCGAAGTGGTACACGTCTGAGACCTGCATCACTTGGGGCTTTACTCCCACATTAAGCTGACACGCCGTGATATAAATGGAATACTGTTAAAAGCGGCGTTAAACCCAACTCACTCACTCACTCTTGTAATAGTTTGATTTATGGTAGTATTCCTTCCTACTTTTAATATGTGTACAGGGGGCACGGATGGCCCAGTCGTCAAAGGCGCCGTGATTCGCTGTGCAGAGTTGCGTCCCATTTGGCACACCAGAAACCTATGATTGTGGGTTCGAATCCCGGTTCGCCCCATTTATGTTTCTAGGTTTGTCAGCACCATACCCGTGCTCGTGGGTTTCACCGAAGTGGTAAACGTCTTAGACCTGCATCACTTGGGGCTTTCCTCCCACATAAAGCTGACACACCGTGATATAACTGAAATAATGTTCAAAGCGGCGTTAAACCCAACTCACTCACTAATAGGTGTACATGGGAGGCAAGGCGGACTAGTTGTCTGAGGTGCTGACTTTGACTCTTAGGTGGAACAGAAACGTATAAAGTTGGGTTCGAATCCCGTGTCGACCTGATTATATTTAGTAAGGATAAGAATTTATGGATGAACAACTTCTTTATTACAATTAGGAGCGACGTTTCGGTGTAGGTTCTAACACTGTTATCAAGCAAGTGATTATATTTGTAGGTGTCTCAGCCAATGCCATGCTTGTGTGTTTTACCAAAGTGGTAAACGTGTAAGACCTGCACACAACAGGCTTTCTTCCCACATCAAACTGTAATGCTGTGATTTGACTTATATACTGTTCAAAGTGGTGTTAACCCCAACTCACTCACTCACTCGCTATATGTACATGAAGTATTTTCTAACCTATTGCCAGCACAGTCATGCTTGCTGTTGGAGCTATAGTCCAGGGGAGGTAACTCATGCAATGATACTCATGAAAGCAACTGTAAAATCCTTTGACTGTTTTAGTCCATTCTTCAGCTGTCGACTGAAAATTGCATTATTTCTTTCCGGAACGAATTGTTTGATCTATACATTCAATATGTTTTAGGACTAGGACATGTTCCACAAAGTGGTTTTAGTGATACTTAAACATTGAATTACAATTGCTTTATGGAACAGGGCCCATTTGTTTTGTCTACTGCTTTCTAGGAGCTGTAGGTATTTGTTTTCAAACTTCAACACATATCTAGGACATGAAAAAAACACAATGTCTGGACAGATGATCTCTTTATTTTATATGTATGTTAATTGTTACTGCCTCTGTGGCGATAGCAGATCAGAATAGGTGCCCATTACCTCGTGCTTATCGCAAGACCTGACTTAACACTGTTCACACAAAGCAATGTTCGTATAAGTCATAATACTTATTGATAACAGGCAAGAAAGTAAATACCTAGTAACTAAATATGGCTAGGTCACAGGTCATCAAACTGAACCAGTAAGTGTTCAGGTTAATCATGTATTCATACATATTCATTTTTGAATTCAGTAGTTTTAGAAGGCATTCTGTGCAAGTTAATCAAGAAATTAACATTAATTTGAATAACCTAGGAAATATTTGTAGCACCAACTTTCAAAGAGATTTATTTGTATTTTAAAGATTTGTTCGTAACTGTTTGTTTTATTTGTTGTAGGAGGCGACTTCCGATTGTGATGATGAGAAGTCACATGGCCGAGAATCTGCGTGCAGCAACAACATTCATAGAACAAGGACGTATCCTTCCGCTTGACTGGCATTGGGAAGCCATTTTGTTTGGTTTTAGGATAGAATAGGTCCCCTTCCTAAATTGTCCAGTGTGTTATATGCACATTCTAGGATTGTAAATACATGTACAATAATAATAATAATAATAATAATAATCATAATCATCATAATAATAATAAGCGCATTTAAAATGCGCCAGATTCCATTCACCCAGTGGATGCTCATAGCGCTAGACTATTATAACCCCGGTCAATGGATCAGTATGCACTCGATTTTCATTCTCAGCTCCCTGGGGAGTATACAACCCAAGCTGCCTGTGAGGCGCTAGAAGGTTAACAGCCACATTGCCATCTCATCCTACCGGGTACCCACTCACTGCTGGGTGAACAGAGGCAGATTTCGAACAAAGTCACTTGTCTAAGGAGACACCACATGTGGTACATGCGCTTCAGTGTGGGTCAGGACAGAAGCCCTAGAAACTCTCAGGAGTCAAGCTGCTTAACATGGTCACCCATCCAACTACTCTTCAAGACTGACGTTGCTTAACTTCACCTGATTTGTGATCTGTGCGCTGTGCATAGGACCATGTGCCACCACAACCATTACCCATGGAACCATTACCCACCAAACCTTGCTTTAAAAGTCACTTCTGCATTTCCATCTATATCTTCCCTATCAGAGATTTTCTCCAACTCATGGCTCTAAATTTAAGAACATTGCCTCTTCTGAACAAGAATTTCTTCAGGCAAATTATGAAGTTAAATTCTATGAAGGCCCAGGGCAGATGGTTAGCCTCGTGGTTAAGGCTTTGGCGTGCCACTCCAAAGACCTGGGTTTGATTCTCACATGAGTACTTTGCGTAAAGCCCCTTTCTGGGTTCCGTTGCTGTGATTTTGCTGGAATATTACTGACAGCAACATAAAACTGTACTCACTACCTCTGTGAAAGCCATGAATTTCAACAGAGCATGATTTCAAGGATGTAGAGAGGTGAAGTGAAATGGGGTTAAAAGAGACTGCACGTCGACTGTTCTGAAGCAATGTTTGTAAGCATTAGCTGATAACACCTGAGTTTACTCAGCTCTGCTTGCCTTATACCCCAAGAGTAGGCCTATCACATGACCAGACTTTTGCTCTTGTATGTATACAAACACACTTATTCTGAAAAAAGAACAGTCAGGCCTACTTTCTGTGTGCTTTACGTATTGTTTTGCATATTCATGTAGATATGCAACTACAAATGCCACAGTGTGGTTCATAACAGTGTGGCTTTACACATCAAAGTGACCGTATATCTCGCTGTCTTTATTCGATGACAGCACACTGTACAACCAATGGCAATAAAGGATGAATAGGTAAATGATAATAATTTTACACGTTTAAGTTAATATTAATATTTCATGTCACATTTTCATATATATGTGTAGATGAAAAACATAAGCAACATCTTGACTGGATTGTGTAAGCTGTATCATTGTGACAGAGGTACCTGCCTGCAAGGAACTCTGGATAGGAGAGTGGAACGTGATTGTCTTCATATGACCTTGCCATTTATATTATAATCTAAGCCTAAACCTAAACACAAGCTTATAATCCAAACAAGCTGGCAATTAGTATTTTGTTACTAGCTTTATCTTCACTTTGCCTTCAACAAAAACATGACTGAAGAGATATTCTGCGCAGTGCTTGCATTGTTAGCTTGCTGTGCGGAGTTCTATTATATTGGTTTGAGAATTGAATCGTGGAAATGATGTCACACTTGGAAATTATTTCATGCATGATTTAAAAACACAAAGAACTGTCGATGTGATGTCACATTTAAGATTATTGCACTTATATATAGCGACCTGCATGTGTGGCTGCTTGTACTAGTCTGGACTTATGCCGGTTTTATGTTACTACCCCACTGAGATGCCATGCCGCAGTTTAACATGGATAGCCCACTCAGATGTATTATACTGACTCCAAGCCAACCATTCCTTGTTTTGTCCATTTAATGCTGAGCCAACAAGTACCATATTTTAAAATCTTTTCGTATGACATGACCAGAGATCGAACCACCAACCTTCCACTCTCCGGGGCAGCCGCTTTCAAAGATACAGTGATTTCTCGATATACTGCCCCCATCGGGGTCCAAGATCCCTCCCCCGCATTTTTGGAAAGAGTGTTTTGCAGATATTCATTGCTGCATTACGTAATGATTGGTTGGTTGGTTGTTTTGTTGTTTTACGCCGCACTCAGCAATATTCCAGCTATATGACGGCGGTCTGTAAATAATTGAGTCTGGACCAGACAATCCAATGATTGACATCATGAGCATCGATCCATGCAATTGGGATCGATGACATACATCAACCAAGTCAGTGAGCCTGACCACCCGATCCCGTTAGTCGCCTTTTACGACAAGCATAGTTGCCTTTTACGGCAAGCATGGGTTGCTGAAGACCTATTCTACCCCGGATCTTCACCACGTAATGATGGTAGTGAATGGAGCGTAATTATTTCACAGTGACATGTGACATTAATGTAGATCTCTCGAACCTTGATCTTAGACGATGATTCAAAATGTTTGCCAAAATTAGATGAACAATAATAAATGTAAGTGAATCATAGTTTTATATTATTTTTCGACTGGATGTTATATATATGGAAGCAAACTGTTATGTTCTTGCTTTTCGGAAGGAAGGTGTTCCATTTGCCGATGTATAAACGATGAGAGTAATAACATTGAACTGTTCCTGTTTGTTGTCCCTAACACTATCCAGACATTCGTGTAGGACCAGAGGTGATCAGTGACCCTGCCTTTCTTGTCACAAGGTGGGTACATCTCCAGAACTTGTATCATTCAGCTATAATAAGTGAATTACTGTATTCGACGTAATAAGTGCCCAGCGTGCTCTCAAAATTAGAAATAGGGGGCTCTTATTAGAATATTATTTTGATGGAAAAAAAAGTGTTGAAAGATAAATTTTGTGGTTTATGCTGACAGCCTGAAATGTTTATATACGAGAGATACATTTTTCCAGAATTTAATTGCACATAATTAAGGGTGCATATAACACAAATTCGTATTATACGCAAATAAATAAGTGTTGTGTACATTGATCAATCGGAAGGGGTGCTAATAGGTATTGTTCACTAGCCAATATGTTAGCAAATATCGCCGTGGGCGCTTATTAGAGCAGCACGCTTATTAGGTCGAATACGGTATATGATTTTCATCTCCGCCTGCCTCGCCACCAAACACCAGCCTTGCATTATTGTGTTGTACCCAGTACCTAGAAATGAAGAAAATCGCTACCTTTGTTCCTGACTTGATGAAATCTACCTTACGCTGTGTCCAACCAAACATTCATGCTTCATTTGAATCACATGTGCAGACAGTGCCGAGTAAAGATTGTGTAAGGAGATAAAGTGCCTCTCACTTTAGATATACACTGTAGATATCGCTGCAATGATATTATTGCATCACAATGCTTTGCAGACCATTGTGACGTCATTGGTCACCATGACATCACAATCAAATGAAGTCACTAATGGCTCTGCTGCTGAACCTGTTAGCAAAACATTTTTTTACACTTAAAGGGCAAGTTCACAAGGAAATGAACCTATTTTTCGTGTACTTTTTCCACATTAAAAGTGTTAACCTAGTAGTGTCATAGACAAAAATATAAAAATATCACAATTGTGTGGTGTAGGTACAGGTGTGTGATTCTAGCGTCTCAGATGCCAGCCAGCATAGTGTTATGCTGAGTCACCACTGCGCCGGAGTGTGTTGTAGGCCATGTTGTTTTACCGCAAACTGGTACTTGATATCTTTTGCGTTGAGAATAGACAGGGACCCAGTTGAATTGGCACCAATTACGTCATAATCTAAGGGGGATAACTCTGGCCTGTTTAGCTCGAAAAATGAAGGCCTCATAATGGCATATCATTTTCACACTATTGTGAGCTTCCTACTTTCACTGTGAAAAAAATGAGTTTATATTTTCAAACACAGATACTAACTAATTCTAAAATTGCGTTTTGTTTAGAAAAAGAAAGAAAGTGATTTTTGCGTGTACACTTCCCCTTTAAGACACTGCTTATTACTATCTAAAAACTGAAAAAGTTGGAATAATGATGTTGGATGATAAATAAAATCTCACCCTCGTGTCTTTTGATATCAAATATATCAACATCATATATATTTGATATAAAAAAGACACCAGGGTGAGATTCTCTATTTATATATTTATTTTTTCATTCAACCTCCCACTGACATGCTGTGATGCGATATAAACGTTGTGGTACTGAACCCATCTCGCTCACTGTTGCAGGAACATGGAGGATTTCATCACCTGGACAGACACCTCCGCCATCAGGAAACACGTCCTTGACTACAATGATATTGTGAGTGAACTACTTGACAAGCCAGCTTCTCTGTCATGGCTCTGGATGACTGTAGGGAAATTTATACCATAATTATCATGGGCGGATACAGCTTTTTTGAAAAGGGGGGGGGGGGGGGGGGGGGGTGCACAATTAAGATCTATTTATTGTCTTTGGTGGTAATTTATACAGAAATAAAGATTTTTTTCGATCCCCTGGCCACGTCATACCTAAAGACGTTAAAAGATGGTACTTGTTGTTACCCTGCCTGGGGCATGTCATTAAGGGGATAAAACATGGGCTGGTCAGCTCAGTGTGTTTCAATGGGGTATCCATGTTAAACTGTGGTATCTTAGTGGGCTAGCACTATAAGCCATTATAGTCCAATCTAGTACGAGCAGTCACACACGTCTCTTCATTTCGTGCAATAATCCTGGATATGATGTTAAACCCCATTTCACTTCATGATGAGAAAGCCCAACAAGACATTTTAACAAAGAATATTTTGGAATGTTTTCATTTTCGAGACTACATTTTCGTCTCATAGTTCTGGAACAGAACTAAAAAGTCTCAGCTTTCTGCTATGATGCTAGGAATGTTAACAAATGATGTTGCAAATATTAACCAAATTAATTTTTTTATAATTGATGATCATATTTTATTTTACAGAGAGATGACTTTGACATCATGGGCTAATCTAAGAAGCCACTTTCCACAGGAGCGTGTTTTGTTCTGTCTGAATGTACAGGTGTTTCGGGCATCTACAGTGACCCAATTTGCTGTTTAGAGTTGTGTCTCCTTGTATTGTCAGAAACCTATCATCGTGGGTTTAAATTTGAGATTTGCCCTGATTATGACTGTTGGTTTGTTGGCACCATACCCATGCTTGTAGGGAGCACCATAGTGGTAACCACAGGAACCTGCATCACTTTGTGCTTACCTCCCATGCTTGCCGTAAAAGGCGACTATGCTTGTCGTAAGAGGGGACTAATGGTATCGGGTGGTCAGGCTCACTGACTTCATTGATGCATGTCATTGATCCGAATTGCGTGGCTTGATGCTTATGTTGTCAATCGCTGGACTGTCTGGTCCAGATTCGATTATTTACAGAGTGCCGTCATATAGCTGGAATATTGCTGAGTGCGGTGTTAAACAACAAACAAACAAACAAACAAAACTTTCCTCCCACATCAAACCGACATGCCAGGATATAATTGAAATAGTGTTCAAAGCGGTGTTAAACCCAAATCAGGTTTTGATGTATAAATGTATGATTGTATTCAGTGGAAATAAAAGATCTTTACAACCAAGGTGTTTTGTAGCTAATGTATTAGCCGAGCAAACGTTCCCGGATTTCCCATTGAAACATATATTATTATGCCCCTGAAAGAGGTATACCTTTAGTATGCATTTTGGTAAAGTTTAATGTATGTAGAATCAAAATAAATTTGTCGTAATGAATTTCACATGGACGTTAATCTAGAAATTTGGAACAAAATATGCATCGGAAAACGCCGACATGTCTGTATATATAAAAGTAGTTGTCCATACATCCTCAGCTGGGAGTGATCTCCCTTGTTGTCACTAAACGTAAACACAACCGCACAATGGTCACAGGAAATAATTATTGAGGTAAATACTGCTCATGCAAGATATATCACACATTTAACGTTGGTATTGTAGCGAATATAAATTCAAATTATAAAGATTTATCAAAATATACAGTGAATATGCTTCGGGAAACGCCGACCCTTCCATTTCATTGATAGCAGCGTGCCACTTGCCATGTGTATCTGTATTAAAAAGTAGGATAAATTGAATATTTTGGCTAAATGATCGTAATGACGACAAACGTTGTGTAATATATATATCTTTTCTGATTAAATGAGACCAAAAACAAATGTGCTAGTGGTATGAATTAGGCCTAGACACGGCGTACACCGTGCCGCACTGCCAAAGGTTAATACTGCTTTCCTCCTCGCTAGTAATGATTACAAATAGGCGTCTGTTGGTTTACACGTTCTTTTCACAAAGAAAACAAGTTGAATATTTTCTGTAAGAAAAACACGAGCACAAACTTATGATTTATTTACAGATTAATTATGGAACCTGGCTATTCCAGCGACCCCAGCCCTCTAAAGCTGGCACCAGTAAGAAAAAAACTCAAGTTCTCATTTAATGATGTACACGAACAGTGTCTGATTTGTGGGCGACAGGACGGGGACATCACATTTGGAACAATCCATGGTTCAAAAAGTGTAGTCTCAGCTGCACACCATCGTCAAGATGAAGTATTGCGTCGCATCATAAACGTCAAGCGCGATGATTCACTGACATTATCATACCATAGATCTTGTTTCAAATCCTACACCAGTAAGCAAAATGTCAAATATGCAACACAGGCAATACTCCCAAAAACTGTTTCTCAGGCGACTGTAAGTACAAACGTGCAGTCCACTAGATCTGTCAAATCAATAAAGTGGTCGTCTTGTTTAATCTGTGGCTTCAAAAAGCATCGTGGTAACAACAAACTACACACAATTCAGTCTTTTGAACGAGCTGGTGACCTAAATGTAGCAGCAATAGCAGTGGGGGACATGGATGTAATTGGAAGGATAAAAGGTGAAGATTTAATTGCCAAAGAAGGTTTATATCATGAGACTTGTATGAAACGATTTCTGAGAGCAGCCAATCAAGTACAGCATATGAATGACGATGATGACATGATGTCTGAGAAATCTATGCATGATGAGGCATTTGCAAAACTAGTGGAGGAGATAGAAATCGATCTTTTCACAGAAGGAAAAGCTCTATCAATGGCAAAAATCACAGCAAGATTTAATGAACTCATAACAAATCAGTCCTCAAACAACAGCAACTACAAAAGTGACAAACTTAAAACGAGACTCTGTTCCTTTTTCGGCGACAGAATATCAGTGCAGAGGATTGCTGGCAAGGGGTCGCCAAACATGTTACTCAGCAGTTCCATAACTCTAGCTGATGCAATCCATGCAGCGCACATACTCAAGGGGGAGCTACACTTGGCAAGGTTTGATGGTGATGATGATGATGTAAATGTGGAGGCTTTCAATGAGGAAAACAAAATGTTAACTCTTAGAAATGCAGTCACGATTTTGAGACACAACATAATGCAAGTCAAAAAGAAGGATTCTTATCCAGCCTCCAGTGGAGTTTCTCAAGAGGCGTCCAAACAGGTTGTTCCTGACAGTTTGTTGCAGTTTGTACTATGGTTGATAGACAGAAAAGCTTTCGAGATGAATGCAGCTTTATACACGCCGTCAGATGACATACATCGAAAGGCAGTTGCTCTTGCAGAGTGTTTAGTTTATGCCTCAACAAACACAACAACCCCTTTTCATTTGGGTCTAGCCATTCAAATGCACCATGAATTTGGATCTCGTAGCATAATAGATACGCTGCACGCCTATGGATTTTGTGTAAGTTACTCTGAATTGAGAATGTTCATGACAAGTTTAGCTGAGTCGGAGTTACACAGAATCAGAGATGGCATCTATAAACCAAGTGGCATTGTCTCACCTGCAGATGGTGGATTGCTTATACAAGAGGGTGATGACAATGTGGATATTAACTGTGAAACGGTTGATGGGAAGAATACTTTCCATTCAATGGCAAGGGTTGTGTTTCAATGTACAGATAAGTCAAAGGCAGAAAGCACTGATGTACCGCGATGTAATGACAGATCTCTGAAGCTCAATGATGAAATAAACTCTACATTGCATGTACTTCCTTTCCAGAAGCCAAGTCAGAGACCAGAGCCTCCACGACATGCACATCCTCTTGATAAAATCAAGAATGCAACCTCTGAATTGAACCACGTTTCTGATATGACATGGGTTTTGCTGAGAATGATACATCGGGAACTCATTCCCGTTCTAGATTGCCATGTTGGTGAACAGGTCGTTCCAGTCTGGACTGCATATCATCGTCAAAAGGCGCAGCCATGCAACACATTTACTGCTGTTGGATATGCACCAATAATAGACGCCAAACCAACAGATATGTCCACTGTGTACACCACAATGATGCGATGCAAGCGAATGACTGAAGCTTTTGGACAGAAGCATTCAGTTCAAACAATGGACCAGCAACTGTATGCAATAGCACAGCAAATAAAGTGGTCAAGGCCTCGTGAATTTGAAAACCATATTCTGAGACTGGGTGGTTTCCACACATTGCAGTGTTTCATCGCTTCTATTGGAAAGTTATGGGGAGATGGCGGCTTACTAGATCTTCTTGTGGATTCAGATGTTTATGCAGCATCCACTGCTGAAAGAATGTTATCTGGAAAGCATTACCACAGAGCCATCAGAGGTCTAACGATGACCTATGAAGTATTAATGGAAGCGTTTATTTCTAAGCTTCTGAAATGGTGTGAGGAAAACACTGCAGAACTACAAGATTTGTCAGAGCTGTGGCACACACTATCCAGGAATCAGGCAAAAATGCTAAATCAGACATGGAATGAGGAAAGCTGCAGTGAACTGCAGCTAACGGTTGAAACCTTACTTTATCCATTCTTTCAAAGATTCAAAGATTGGGGTGAGAAGCGTTCTCCAACATTCAAGTATTGGATAGCATACCTTGAGACAGTTCAGATTGTTCTGGCAAACATACGAGCAGAACGTGAAGCCAACTGGAATATGCACCTCTCAACAGAATATGCAATGCTTCCTTATTTGTTTGCAGCCAGTCGTTCAAATTATGCTAGATATCTCCCTGTGTATCTCCTTGATATGGTCTCAATGCCAGAGGAAGTCCAAGAGGAGTTTGCTAAAGGACACCATGTGTACCGAGAGAAGCAAGGGTCATTCAATGGTTTGTGGAGTGACATGGGAGTAGAGAAGACAATCATCAGAGATTCTAAAAGTGATGGTGGTGTTGTGGGTCTCACGAGAAAACCTGCCTCACTTCTCCGTTGGACACTCACAAGACATATCATGGGAGACTACACTTCAGTAATGCAAGAGAGATCTGGTCAAGACACAACTACATTCTCCTCTGAGTGTTCCTCAAATGCAACTACTGCACGTGATGAACAAGATGTTGCAAGAATGTACACACATCTGACAAACAACATGACAAACCCATTTGATGTAGAGAGCCATCCTGATGTCCTAATCAACATATCTACTGGTGTCCATGCTCCTAAAGACATAGAAGAATCACTTACAAACATTGCTGCGACAGGACATCGTCAGATGGTGTCATTTATGAGCAACAGTCTTTCGTATGAAGGTGGCAAATCATTCTTCAGCCCCATTCCAAGATCGAAACTGAAAACTTTCTCTGACCTTCAAAAGGGATGTAAAATTAAAACTACAGATGGAACAACCAAGGTGTTGCAGATGAAACCAGAAGTAGTTTTCAGAAGAGCATTGATCCTTAGTGAGAGCAGGGATGATGTGTCTCTTGACAGTGTTATGTCACATCCTATTGGACCACTTCCAACTTCTCTCTTCAACATCGATGGGACCATGCGAAAAACAGCTAAATCAGATCTGACTCAGAAAGTAGAGGGGGAATTAGATGTTGCCTATACTGATCTTCCTGTATTTGACAAGAAGTCTTCTGTATACATCAGAGATGGAATGGCCGTGATACAGTCAATGAAACCAAACACAGGCGATACATTTGAAACACTGAGCTACCGGTATTGGAGTCAGTTGAGGAAAGGCTTCCAAAAGGCAGATTTACTTGTTGACGTCTTCGACAGATATGACGTCAAAGATTCAACAAAATCAGCAGAACGATTCAGACGAGAGTCAAAACATGACGGTCGCCGAGAATACCAGGTGATCGGCGGAAGAATGATTCCTCCCTGGTCAAAGTTTCTGAATGTTGGCACAAACAAGATGTCTTTGACAAACTACATCAGCACTACAATGGAAATGCAAATGCCACCTCATCTCGATGAATCCCAGTCTGTGTATCTGGTAGGTGGATATCAAAATGGAGCAGTTGCCAAATGTGTAACTTCAGAAGGAACTAACATAATTGCT